CAAATATTGTGACTTGGTTGTTTATACCTTCAACTTAACCTGAAAAGAAAAAAAAAAGAATGTCTCAGTGAGACCAGGCATGATGGCTCATGCCTGTAATCCCAATACTTTGGGAAGCTGAGGTGGAAGGATCACTTAAGGCCAAGAGTTCAAGATCATCCTGAGCAATATTATGAGATCCTCATCTCTAAAAAAAATGTAAAAATTAGCCAGACATGGTGGTACACACCTATAGTCCCAGTTACTCAGAAGGCTGAGGCAGGAGGATTGCATGAGCCCAGGAAATGAGGTTAACAGTGAATTATGATGACATCATTGCCCTCTAGCCTGGGCACCAGAGCAAGACCCTATCTCAAAAAAAAAAAAAAAAAAAGAGAGAAAAGGGCCAGGCGCAGTGGCTCACGCCTATAATCTCAGCACCAGCACTCTAGGAGGCCAAGGCAGGTGAATCACTTGACGTCATGAGTTCGAGACCAGTCTAAGCAAAAATGAGACCACCCTCCCCAGCCCCTTCTCTAAAAAAAAGAAAGAGAAGAAAGAAAATAAATAGCCAGGTGTTGTGGTGGGCGCCTATAGTCCCAGCTACTTGGGAAGCTGATGCAAGAGGATTGCTTGAGCCCAGGAGTTTGAGGTTGCTGTGAACTATGAAGCCACAGCACTCTACAAGGGCTAAGAAAGTGAAACTCGGTCTAAAAAAAAAAAGAAAGTCTTGGTGAAACAATAAAGATTACTAACTCTCAAACCTGTGTACAAATTTCTGTGTGACAAAGTGGGAAGTATGTATAAAGTATTTCTGCGGCATAGTGAAAGGCAAAAGTTATTTGTTGGGAAAAGTACTTGTGCAATTGAGTTGCAAGCTCAACTAGTTACTTATTTCATAGGGTATTATTTTTACTCTAAAGAACAACAGAAACTATGGTTTTTCAGAGTTGGTATGTGGCAGAGCCTTTTTTTTTTTGAGATAAGAGTCTCACTTTGTCACCCTTGGTTGAGTGCCATGGCATCATAGCTCACAACCTCAAACTGTGGGGTTCAAGCGAACTTCTTGCCTCAGCCTCCTGAGTAGCTGGGACTGCAGGCACCTGCTATAACACTTGACTATTTTTTCCTTTTTTTAGAGACAGAGTCTTGCTCTTGTTCGGGCTGGACTCTAACTCTTGAGCTCAAGCCATCCACCCACCTCAGTCTCCCAGAATGCTAAGATTACAGGTGTGAGCCCCAGTGCCAGCCTGTGGCAGACATTTTTTCTTTATTTTGAGACAGAGTCTTACTATGTCACACTGGATAGAGTGCCGTGGCATCACACAGCTCACAGCTCACAGCAACCTCCAACTCTTGGGCTTACGCAATTCTCTTGCCTCAGCCTTCTAAGTAGCTGGGACTACAGGCACCTGCCACAATGCCTGGCTATCTTTTTGTTATAGTTGTTTTTGTTGTTTGGCAGGCCCAGGCTGGGTTTGAACCTGCCAGCCCCAGTGTATGTGACCTAGCTGCTGAGCTACAGGCACCAAGCCCAGACATTTTTTCAAAATGTAATTTTTGTGAATGATTAAATTCAAGTTTCACACAAAAATTAGAATTTTGAAAAACATCTCTGCCCCTGTAAACTTGACAGTTTCCAATATTTAAAGGCTTTCCTGGTGAAATCACTTGATGACATTAATGAATGTGACTTTTTAATATTGTATAATGAAATGTGTCAACATTTGGAAGATGGCATCACCTTGTACACAAAATATTCTCCAAATCACCAAAGCATAATGGTTCAAAATCGTATGTAAATATCCACTTAAAGTACAAGATAGAGACTAGTAGACTTCAATATATCAATCTTAACATAACAAAGTAGTTTGAAATCCCAGAGTTTGAAGCAAGCGAATGCTAGAGGTCAGTAGTTCCCAGGAGTCTGAGGTCATCCTGGGCAACATAGGAAGGGAAGAAGGAAGGAAGGGAGGGGAGGAAGGGAGGAAAGCCAGAAGCTAGGAGAAAAGGAAAGAAGAAAGCAATTTCTACTTGTTGCGTTTTGGTGTAGCAGCAAAGTAGAGTATCTACAACTATCTGACAAAATTATTAAAATAGTCCTCCCCTCCTGGCTCGGCGCCCGTAGCTCAGTGCTTAGGGCACTACATCAGGGCTGGCAGGTTCAAATCTAGCCCAGGCCTGCTAAACAACAAAAACAACTATAACTAAAAAATAGCCAGGTGTTGTGGGGCACCTGTACTCCCAGCTACTTGGGAGGCTGAGGCAAGAGAATTGCTTAAGCTCAAGAGTTTGAGGTTGCTGTAAGCTGTGATGCCATGGCATTCTACCAAGGGTAACATAGTGAGACTCTGTTTCAAAAAAAAAAAAAAAATAGTCCTCCCCTCCAGCTACAAATCTAAAAAGCTGAATTTTCTTCACAAACTTCAACTAATATAACATTGTAATAAACTTAATAATAAACCAGATTTGAAAATCCAACAGTTATCTATTAAGCCAGATGTTTAAAAAGATTTGCAAACACATAAAATAATTCTACTCTCAGAATGTTTTGTGTTGGAAAATAGTTATTTCCATGGGAAAAAAAAAATGTTCTTTATATTAATACATTATTGGGCTTTGTTAGTTTTGAATGAATTAATAAATAGCTTAATTTTTTCTCACCTTTAATTCTAACACAATAAATATCAATAAATATATCCTTCATAAGTAAAAGTTCTCTGGGAAACTTCAATTTTAAAAGTATAAAGAAGTCCCAGACCCTTAATTTTTTTTTTTTTTGGTAGGGACAGAGTCTCACTTTTATTAAATTCAAGTTTCACACAAAAATTAGAATTTTGAAAAACATCTCTGCCCCTGTAAACTTGACAGTTTCCAATATTTAAAGGCTTGGTACAGTGCTGTGGCGTCACATAGCTCACAGCAACCTCCAACTCCTGGGCTTAAGCAATTCTCCTGCCTCAGCCTCCCAAGTAGCTGGGACTGCAGGCGCCAGCCACAGTGCCTGGCTATTTTTTGGCTGCAGTTCGGCCGGGACCAGGTTTGAACCTGCCACCCTCAATATATGGGGCCAGTGCCCTACTCGCTGAGCCAAAGGCGCTGCCCATCAGACCCTTAATTTAATAAAAAATAAATAAATAGGGTAGCACCTGTGGCTCAAAGGAGTAGGGCACGGGCCCCATATGCCAGAGGTGGCAGGTTCAAACCCAGCCCTGGCCAAAAACTGCAAAACTAACTAACTAAATAAACAAACAAACTAAAATATAAGGCCAACTGTGGTGGTTCATGCCTATAATCCCAGCACTTTGGGAAGCCAAGGAAAAAGGATCACTTGAGGCTAGGAGTTTAAGATCAGCCTGGGCAAGACTTCATCTCTACAAAAAATATAAAAATTATCCTGACATGGTAGTCTTAGCTACTTGGGAGGCGGAGATGGGAGGATAATTTCAGTCCAGGAATTTGAGGCTGCAGTAGTTATGATGATGTCTCTGCACTCCAGCCTGGGTAATAGAGTGAGGCCCTGTCTCTAAAAAGAAAGAAAAGAGAGAGAGAGGAGAGCACAGCAAGTAAAGAATCAATCTTGGATCAAAAAGTTCTAAGAACTGCTATAATAGAGGACAATATAAATAGCTTTTTAATCATACTTCCTATAAAAAGGTTTTGCTGAAATAATTCTAACCAGAAAGCTATATTTTTAATTACATGTTTTCCTATTTTAAAAAATGCATGGAAGTTGGAACCATATTACTAAGGAACAATATCCCATAAGTAAATAGGACTATCCATTTCCTTACTAGAGTGCAAACTGCATTTCAAGGATGCAGAACTATGGTGTATCCTGGACCTCACTATTTCTACTATGATACATGCAATAAACATTTTCTGAAGGCTGGGCATGATGGCTCACGCCTGTAATCCTAGCCCACTAGGAGTCCAAGGCAGGTATATTGCTTAAGCTCACAAGTTCAAGACCAGCCTGAGCAAGAGGTAGACCCCATCTCTAAAAAATAACAGGGTGTTGTGGTGGGCGCCTATGGGTCTAGCTACTCAGGAGGCTGAGACAAGTGAATTCCTTGAGCCCAGGAGTCTGAGGTTGCTGTGAGCTATGACACCAACGCACTCTACCAGGGTGTGACAAAGCGAGACTGTGTTTAAAAAAACAAACAATTTTTAGATGAAAATAGAGGAAATATAATTCTGAACTCAATATATATATAAACATACATACATGTACATACCTAAATTCCTTAAATATCAACAAATATGTTCTTTTTTTTTTCTTTTTTTTGAGACGGAGCCTCAAGCTATCCCCCTGTATAGAGTGCTATGGCATCACGCTTACAGCAACCTCCAACTCCTGGGCTCAAGCGAGTCTCCTGCCTCAGCCTCCCAAGTAGCCGGGACCACAGGCACCTGCCACAATGCCCGGCCATTTTTTGGTTGTAGCCATCCTTGTTGTTTGGCGGGCCCGGGCTGGGGATTCGAACCCACCACCTTAGGTGTATGTGGCTGGCGCCTTAGCCGCTTGAGCCACAGGCGCCGAGCCTTCATTTTTTTTTTTCAACAGATGAAGTGATTTTTTCTTTCGAGAACCCCTGACCAATAGAAAGGGGGAAAAAATCTAGTAAAGTGTAACTTAATTTTATTTCTGTTAATGTGTTTCTTTTCTTCCTGTAAACTGACAACCAGTATCACAAGGTTCTATTTAACAAATATACAAATTAAAATACATTTTAACCAAAGGAGAAAGAAAGAGGAGTCAAGAAACATAGGAAGTTGAAGAGGAAGGATAAAAAGGGTAGAAAGAAACAGAACAAGAGAAAGGCAAATGAGATTCTATATATAATTCTTTTAAAAAAACAAAATTCCAAAATGACTTAGAAATTACCAAAATAAATTTAGTCCTTAAACAAGATACTCATAAAATACCTAAATGTATTAAATTATCATATGTACCCCCAAAATGTGTATAGCAGATATCAATTTTAAAAATCAAATAAGAAAAGGGTATGTCTAAGTACCTGGCATTTCTTAAGCTCTCTCTTCAGTTGGAGAACTGTAATATGCTGGGGTCCTTCTTCCAGGTTACCAACGATTCGGTTTTCTCGCCATGAGGTGAAGACATCCTTTCTGGTCTCCTGGGTCATGTTAAACCACTCCTGCAGCTTGTGTTGCTGATTTTGATTTAGTCTGACAGCATCTTTTAAGTCCACCAGGAAGGTAAAGGCTTCTTCTATACAAGTTTGGTAACCCAGACACTCTCCTTGTAGCTGAGCTACTTGCTCCTCCAGAGAATGGATTCTATTTTTATCAGGAGTCCCCTCTCGGTGGATCTGGCTAGTCTGGCTGACACTAGTCCGCTGGCCTTGCAAAGCTTCTCGAAGCAATTTAATCTCAAATTCCATTTCATCCATGCGGTTTGACTCAGGGCTGACATTCACAGTGGGTTTGTTTCTAATGTTCCGTGCTCTGTTTGCATATTTAAGAGAATTTAAGGACTCCTCAAAATCTGAGGAGGATGGGCTGACACATGTGATCATGACAGTCTTAGCACTGCCTCCTAGGGAATCTTTCAGAAGCCGGGTAATTTTAGCATCCCTGTATGGAATATGAGAACTCTTCCGACGTGGGTCCCCAAGAGCACTTATTACATTTCCTAAAGCCAGCAACCCACTGTTGATTTGAATGGATTCTTTGAACCGTTCACCAGTATTCCCTGTTTTGGTTACTCTTTCTGATCCAGCCAAATCCACAAAGTGGAACTTTGAGACAATATGCCGACGGGAATACCAAGATCCATCTTCAGCTGCCTCCATATTTTTCTCAACTTGACAAATGCTGATTGTAAAAATTGCATGTGATCTGCTGGAATGCTCATTCATTTGGGTGGTACTTGTATGTCTGGCTGCGTTCCCCACCTCCAGAAGACTCATCACTTCATCTGCATTCTCTACATGGAATTCCTTGGCCCCAACAATCACTTAAAATAACAATAACAAGTTTTTAAACTTTTCATCAAAATTCAATACAGTTAAAATAACCACACAACAGTTATCATCATTTTTTGATAACAACAGTTATCATCTGCTAAAGAGCCTAGCCAAGATAGTCTCTTTAAAAAACAAAATCAATAGCATTTCAAACAACAACAGTTTAACATTAGGCTCAGCGCCTGTGGCTCAAGTGGCTAAGGCGCCAGCCACATACACCTAAGCTGGCGGGTTTGAATCCAGCCCAGGCCCACCAAACAACAATGATGGCTACAACCAAAAAATAGCCAGGCATTATGGCGGGCGCCTGTGGTCCCAGCTACTTGGGAAGCAGAGGCAGGAGAATAGCTTGAGCCCAGGAGTTGGAGGTTTCTGTGAGCTGTGATGCCACAGCACTCTACCCAGGGTGAGGCTTGAGGCTCTGTCTAAAAAAAAAAAAAAAAATGACACAGGGGCAGGAGCCTATAATCCCAGGCACTTTGAGAGGCTTAAGTGGAAGGATCACTTGAGACCAGGAGTTAGAGACCAGCCTGGGCAACATGGCAAGACCCCATCTTTATAAAAAAAATTTTAAAAATTAGACGGCTATGGTAGCATGCGCCTATAGTCCCAGCTACTTGAGGGGATAAGGCAAGAGGACTGTTTGAGCCAGAAGTCTGAAGCTGCAGTGATCTAGGATCACACCACTACATCCTAGCCTGGGTGACAAGAATGAGATCCTTCTACTTTTTTTTTTTTTATTTTTGAGAGTTTCACTATGTCACCCTTGGTAGAGTACCATGGCATCACAGCTCACAGCAACCTCAAAGTCTTGGGCTCAAGTGATTCACTTGCCTCAGCCTCCCAAGTAGCTGGAACTACAAGCACCCACCACAACACCCAATTATTTTTTTTGTTGTTGCAGTTGCCATTGTTGTTTTTTAGCTGGCCTGGGCTGGGTTCAAACCCACCAGCCTCAGGGTATGTGGCTGGTGCCATAAACACTGTGCTACGGTGCCAAGCTGAGATCTTTCTAGGAAAAAAAAAATTATATATACACAGCAAAAGAAATCTGAAAAGAAATAAACCAGAAAGAGAAGATGCTATTTCTAGTTCTAAGATAAACTTTGCCTTTTTCCTTATATTTTCCTGTTTTCAAAATATCTTATGATGAACATATTAGCATTAAAATCAGAAAAGCAGAAATTATTATTCCTTAAGATACCTAGACTTGGACCCACATATTTCCCCAGAAGAAAATGCATACTAGGTAATAAGATTAACAGATTCCTGTTACAGAAGTCAGACCTTGAGGAGTACAAAAACCAAAAAACATGGAAGTGTCAACATGCAAAAGTGAAAACATAAATTCAAATTTTTTAAAAAAAAGACAGCGTGCTAGAATAAAAATCAAAGAAGAATGGAAAGTTCCTAAAGGAAGAGCCAACTCCAATCTTGGGATATATCTGGGAAGAAAGAAGATACAAAAACAAATTTAGCCTGTATCAGTCTCACCTGAGGTCAGGCCATAGAAGGACAACTGCAGGAAGTCAATATCTTGAATCACAAATTAATAAATTCACCTCACCAACCAGTGTGAACTACTTTTCAACACAGTTATTTGCCTAAGATTGATAATCAATAAACTATTCAATTTAAAGGTAAAATTAAATTCATTCTTCTTCCATATCTGTTTTTAAAGATTCCTAAAATACATCCAGAAACTGAATTAAAGCATTAAAGCATATCTGTTTGTTAATGAAGTAAATCAATTTAGTGGGCTACCTGTGTTTCCTTTTTCATCTTCTCGGATGTGAAGATCCTTCATGGATGTCTCCAATTCTAGAAGATCTCTTAGGTCTTCCTTGTAGACTTCTATATAAGATACTTTTACACTAAAGTCAATGCTAGGATGTTCAGAGATGCTTTGAAATATTTCTTGGATAGCTCGAGGAATGATACCCTTTTGTCCATCTACAACTGAAGCTGAAAATTTAGAAAAAGAAAGCACATCTAAAACTTCAAATATAAGAAAAACTACAACCTAAGATCTACAGTTAATATATTTTTTTCACATTTCTCCACAATATTTTTGAATCACAACTATAAAATTCATAGGTAAAAGTTTTAACATACATCCCCTTAACTCAGAATCCACTCATGCATTTATTCATCCACTACTTATTTAGTACCTACTATATGCCAGGTGCTGTTCTAGGATTCTGGGAACCATCAGTGAACAAAATAGGGGGAAAAAAATCTCTACCCTCTATGAAAGACAGACAATTAAAAAAAATGATAATAATTGATTGATGAATTATACAGTATATTAAGGATGTTAAATGTGGCTCAGCGCCTGTAGCTCAAGCAGCAAAGGCGCCAGCCACATACACCAGAGCAGACAGGTTCAAATCCATCCCTGGCCTGCCAAACTACAACCAAAAACTAGCCAGGTGTTGTGGCGGGCACCTGTAGTCTCAGCTACTTGGGAGGCTGAGGCAAGAGAATCACTTAAGCCCAGGAGTTGGAGGTTGTTGTGAGCTGTGATGCCACAGCACTCTACCCAGGGCAACAGCTTAAGGCTCTATCTCCAGAAAAAAAAAAAGATGTTAAATGTACCTAGAGAAAAAAGTAGGGGGTGGAAGGTGCTCACAACTTTAAATAGGAAGACCATGGTGGGCATCATTTAGAACCTAACATTTGAACAAAGACTTGAAAGAAGTGGTAGAGGGGCCATATGGATATCTGAGGAAAGTGTCTCAGAGGAAACAGCCATTGCAAAGGCACTAAATTAGTGTGATTCATGAACAAGGAGACTAGGGTGGCTGTTGCAGAGGAAGCAAAGGCAGAGTGATAAGAAATGAGATCAGAGAAGTGACAGAAGCCAGTTCATGGAGGTCCTTACTAAACACGTGAGAGCCACTGAAATAGAGCAATAGTTTACTACTGCTTGAGGGTTTTTTTTTGAGACAGTCTTAGTATGTCACCCCCAGTGGAGTGTCGTGGCGTCACACCTCACAGCAACCTCCAACTCTTGGGCTTAAGTGATACTCTTGCCTCAGCCTCCCCAAGTAGCTGGTACTACAGGCACCCGCCACAATGCCCGGCTATTTTTTGGTTGTAGTCGTCATTGTTGTTTGGCAGCCCAGGCTGAGTTCAAACCTGCCAGCTCTGGTGTGTATGTGGCTAGTACCCTAGCCGCTGAGCTACAGGAGCTGAGTCTACTGCTTGAGATTTTTAAAAGACTACTCTGGCTACTGTGTTTTGCTGGGGTGGAAGCAGGGAGACCACTTAAGAGGCTACTGCAGTAATCTGGGAATCAAAGGGGTCAAGTCGTAGATAGATTGGCTTACACCAGGATGTAGCTGGATTCTGGATTTATGTTAAAGGAAGAGCCATTATGATATCCTGAGAGACGGGATATGGGATGTGAGAGAAAGTAATTGAGTCAAGGTTTTGTCTTGAGCCACTGGAGTTGTCATCAGCTTATACAGGGAAGAATGGGTGTTGAGTTGGCTTGAGGGGAAAATGGCAGGAGTTGGGTCTTTAACCATAGGAAGCTTGATATGTCAATTAGGCATTCCTTAAGTTAAATAGGCAATTGAAAATTGGAAGTTAGCTATACTTATAAGGGATTTAATGTCAAGTAGATGAGATCATCAAGAAAGTAGAGAGGCAGAAGAGAAGAGTACCAAAGGCCGAGTCTTTGTGCACGTCATTCATTTATAAAGAACCAAGCAAAAAGGCCTGAGAGTAATCAGTTAAGTAGGAAAACCAAGAAGGTAGTGGCCTAGAAGCCAAGTGCAGAGGGTGTATCAAATCTGTTGATAGGTCCAGTAAGATGAGAAATAAGAAGTGACCATTGGATTTAACAAAGTAAAGGTCATTTATGATTATCTTGGCAAGTACAGTTTCAACGATAGTAGAGATGAAAATCTAAATAGAGTAGATTTAAGAAAGGATGGAAACAGAACTGGACACTACAAATCACAGGTAACACATTCAAGGTTCTAATGCAAAAGAAAATGGAGAAGTGGGATGGTAGCTGGCTGCAGAAGTGGGTAAAGAAAGGGTTATTAATTATTGTTTTTAACTTTTTGTAAAGATAGGTTCTCACTATATTGTCCAGGCTGGTCTCAAACTCCTGGCCTCAAGGGATCCTCCTACTTTTTCCCAAAGTACTGGGATTACAGGCATGAGCCACTGCACCTGGTCTATAAATTATTTTAAGATAAAGTTAAAGCAGATATATCAAGCATTCTCTCAATTTTTAATACTATACATGCTAACATCAAAATGCTACTAAAATTGATAATTATATTCACAATGACTAATCACTATAATTATTCACTGTGTAAAACCATGTAAACAAAGATTTAAATTTTGATAATGCCTAGTTTTCTCAAGGATATGAACTGAGTCTTTTTTTTTTTTTGAGACAGAGTCTCACTATGTCACCCTCTGTAGAGTGACGTGGCATCACAGCTCACAGCAACCTCAAACTCTTGGGATTAAGCAATTCTTTTGCCTCAGCCTCCTGGGACTACAGGTGCCCACCACAAGGCCCAGCTATTTATTTGAGGTTGTCATTGTTGTTTTAGCTGGCCTGGGCTGGTTTTGGTATATGTGGCTGGCATGGTAACCACTGTGCTACAGGTATCAAGCCAATGAACAGAGTCTTCTAATAGACTATGAAAATGTAAACTGATATAGCCTTTTTGGAGAGTCATTAATACCAATAGTATCAAAAATGTAAACATGATCACTCTTTAACTCAGATAGGGTCCTAAAGAGATTGGAAGTGCCCAAAGACATTATCAGGATCAATAAAGACTATTGACAATCATAAAAAAATTCCAATAAATTCCATAAATCCATTGGCAGGAGAATGGATAGATGACAGTGGTGTAACATACACCTCCTGTTAAAGATATCTAAGATCTATGAAGTAAAAAAAGCAATTGCAGGCTCGGCGCCTGTGGCTCAAGTGGCTAAGGTGCCAGCCATATACACCTAAGGTGGCGGGTTCGAATCCAGCCCAGCCCGCCAAACAACAATGACAGCTGCAACCAAAAAATAGCCGGGCACTGTGGCAGGCACCTGTGGTCCCAGCTACTTGGGAGGCTGAGGCAGGAGACTTGCTTGAGCCTAGGAGTTGGAGGTTGCTGTGAGCTGTGATGCCACAGCACTCTACCCAGGGGGACAGCTTGAGGCTCTGCACCCCCCCCCAAAAAAACAATTGCAGGGTGGCACCTGTGGCTCAAAGGAGCAGGGCGCCAGCCTCATATGCCAGAGGTGACGGGTTCAAATCCAGCCCTGGCCAAAAACTGCAAAAAAAAAAGCAATTGCATAGAAAATTTCATCTGGGTAAAAGGAAAAGTACATATCTGCGCAATTAATATTTTTGAAAATGTACACAAAAACTTAACAATGGTTACCTCTGAGTCAGAAAAAAAAAACAAAACTTTTATTTTTAAATCTTACAATGGTATTATTTGAATTTTTACCATTAGAAATAATTTTTTGAGAGAGTCTCACTCTGCTGCCCCAGGCTAGAAATAATTTCTAAATATGTAATTTAAAAATAAATTAAAACTTTGAAGCAGTATAGTTTAAAAATAAACCAATAAAACAAGAAGCATAAAATAAAGAAGTTTATAATCTTCTTTGACAAGACAACCCAATAAACTAAGTGATATTTATATAAGTTTAAGGCAAAAATAAAAAATGTTATAAGAAAATACATTTGAAAATTTCCATGAATGAAATAGGCATTAAGTGGCACCAGTGAAATTCTAAGCAGGTAGGGGTAGTAGAAATGCCCACTTTAATATAAAGATAGAATTCTATGGGGTGGCATTTTATTCTGTAAATAGGCCATGCTATTTTATAAATATTTTACTTTTCTCAATTTACTAATTCACTGTTCATCAAATACTAGATACAGGAAGGTGGCCCTTAGCCCATAAAAAATTCCTGTGCACAAGGGGCAGTGCCTGTGGCTCAGTGGGTAGGGTGCTGGCTCAGCTGGAGGTTGCTGTGAGCTGTTCTGCCATGGCACTCTACCGAGGGCGACAATGTAAGACTCGCGGTGGCTCACGCCTGTAATCCCAGCACTGTGGGAGGCTGAGGAGGGAGAATCGCTGGAGCTCAGGAATTCGAGACTCACCTGAGCGAGAGTGAGACCTCGACTCATGAAAAAAATGAAAAAACCCAGACGGGAGCAGCGGCGAGCGCCTGTAATCCCAGCGGCTTCCAGAGGCTGAGGCAGCAGGATGCCCACAAACCGGAGTCTGAGGTTGCGGTGAGGTACCAAGCCACTGCACCGTGCTCAGGGGCATAGGGTAGGACTCTGCCTCAACAAAAAAAAGAAAGAAAGAAATATCTAGAATAGGCAAATTCAAAGAGACAGAAAGCAAAGTGGGATTACCAAGGGATATGGGATGGTACAGAGCTTCTGTTTGGGGTGATGAAAAATTTTGGAAATAGTGGTGATGACGGCTCGGCGCCTATAGCTCAACCGGCTAAGGCGCCAGCCACGTACACCTAAGGTGGCGGGTTCGGATCCCCAGCCCGGACCCACCAAACAACAATGACGGCTGCAACCAAAAAATAGCCGGGCGTTGTGGCGGGCGCCTGTGGTCCCAGCTACTTGGGAGGCAGAGGCAGGAGACTCGCTTGAGCCCAGGAGTTGGAGGTTGCTGTGAGCTGTAATGCCATGGCACTCTACCCAGGGGGAAAGCTTGAGGCTCTGTCTCAAAAAAAAAAAAAAAAAAAATAGTGGTGATGACTGCATTAACACTGAATGTATTAATATTTGATGCTGTACAGTTAAAGTAAAATGGTAAATTTTACATTACACATATTTATATATATTTTATCACAATTTATAAGTCAGTAAATGCTGGGTTGTGGTAGCTCACACCTGTAGTTCAGCTGCTCAGGAGGCTAACACAGGAGGACCACTTGAGCCCAAAAGTTCAAGGCTGCAGTGAGCTATGATCACACCATTACACTTCACCTTGGGTGACAAAGTGAGACTATGTCTCAAAAAAAATAAAAATAAAAAGTTAAAAAGGGCATAAGATGCAATTTAAATGGAAAATTGAGACTTAAAAGTTTGTGTAGGCCAGTTGAGAAATATGCCCACCATTTTTTCCACTGTTCCTCAGAAATGTATTCCAAGCAACAAAAAGTTGGCTTACAAATGAACCTGCAAAGCAACTTATGTTCATCTTCCCACTGAAGATTACCAAAGTTTAGATTTTGGGCAACAAACATCCTGAAAATCCGAACCTCTATTAACTTGGATGGCTTTCACCGAATTTAAGATACAAGACTGCCATCATGTGGCAAATAAAGGAAACTGTAGTTTTTTTCTTCCACTCAGGGCACAGTGAGATTCCTTAAGAGCTTCCAGAAACTAGCCAATAGGAAATGTGCAAACCCTTTCAATCTATAGTATAGATAAGCAATCCGAATTAGGCAGACTATAACTGACCAGAAATAGCTCATTCATTCCCTACTTCACCGGATATCAAAGCACCATAAATCAAAGCACGTGGGCCAGGCTCTTGCATCTGTAATCCTAGCACTCTGGGAGGCTGAGGCGGCTCGATTGTTTGAGTTAAGAGTTTGAGACCAGGCTCGGCACCTGTGGCGAGCCACATACACCTAAGACGGCAGGTTCGAATCCAGCCTGGGCTCGCCAAACAACAATGATAGCTGCAACCAAAAAATAGCCAGGCGTTGTGGCGGGCACCTGTGGTCCCAGCTACTTGGGAGGCAGAGGCAAGAGACTTGCTTGAGCCCGGGAGTTGGAGGTGACTGTGAGCTGTGATGCCACAGCACTCTACCCAGGGTGACAGCTTGAGACTCTGTCTCAAAAAAAAAAAGAGTTTGAGACCAGCCTGAGTAAGAGCAAGACCTCATTTCTAAACAAAAACAAAAGAAGAAGAAAGGAAGGAAAAGAAAGAAAAAAAGAAAAACTGAGGCAAGAGGATCGCTTGAGCCCAAGAGTTTGAGAGTGCAGTGAGCTATGATGCCAGATACTCTACCCAGGGCAACAAAATGAGACTCTATCTTTAAAATTAAAAAAAAGTGAGAGAGAGTTTTTCCTTCTGCCATAGTGTCTGGCATGGTACCCTCAACACTATAGATGCTCAATAAATATTTATTGGGGAAAAAACCCACTGCCATGCAAATATGGCCAAAATAGTCAAATAGCAGGCCAGATGCACCAGCTCACACCTGTAACCCTAGCACTTTGGGAGGCTCAGACAGGACTGCTTTGCTTGAGCCCAGGAGATTGAGATGAGCCCAGGCAACAGTAAGACCCTTATCTCTACAAAAAATAGAAAAATTAGCTGGATATAGTGGTGCACACCTGTAGTCCCAGCTACTCTGAAGGCTGAGACAAGAGGATTGCCAGAGGTCAGAAGTTGGAAGCTGCAGTGAGCTTTGATGATGCCACTGCACTCTAACCTGGGCAACAGAGCAAGGCTTGTTTCAAAAAAAATTTTTTTAATAATCAAACAGTAGACAAGTGACCCAGAAATGGGAAATCAAAAATGGTCACTAATTTCACTAATATACCAAGAGATAAATGCAACTTTAAATAACAAAGTATAATTTTTTACCTACCAGATGGAAAAAATGAATTTATAATATTACTAAGTGACAAGGATATCAGCAAATGGCTTTCATATTTTGGTTGTGGGAATTTTAACTGGTACTCCATTTTTGGAGGGTAATTTTTTAGGTGATCTACCTACATTTTAAATGTGCATACTCTGGATTCAACAAATCCATCTCTAGGAAATCTATTCTATAGAAATATTAACAGGTCTAAGAAAGGGAAATATACAAAGATACTTAGTACAACTTTTTTATAACAGTAAACAACCTGACCATCCATTAATATTTGAATGGATAAATTATGATTCGTTCACACTATGGAATATTATATAGTCAAAAAATGAGGTGAATTTCTATGACCCAAATGAGAGGTGAAATGATATTTTATACTATTAATACAAAAGGAAGTTACATAACCACAGTTACAACATCTCATTAACAAAACAGATTAAAAAACCAAAAACTACATAGTAATATGGGTTGTACTACATACACTTCAAATTATTATTTCTTGCAGCCAGAGGACTTTTCACTTGTTTAATTTAATTTCTTTTTTTTTTTTTAGAGACAGAGTCTCACTTGTCACCCTTGGTAGAGTGTCATGGCATCACAGCTCACAGTAACCTCCAGCTCTTGGGCTTAAGCGATTCTCTTACCTCAGCCTCCCGAGTCGCTGGGATTACAGGCACCTGCCACAACGTCTGGCTATTTTTTTGTTGCAGTTTGGCTGGGGCCAGGTTTGAACCTGCCACCCTTGGTAAATGGGGCCAGCACCCTACCCACTGAGCCACAGGCACCCCCCTTAATTTCATTTCTTATGTACCACTTGCAATCCTTTTTGTAATACATTTCTTCAATTAAAAAAAAAGTAGAAAGAAAAGAACAAAACTGTTTTTAATGGTGGTCTATTTCTTCTGGCATCAAAATTTTAAGAGCAGTTAAAATATTTCAGAACAATAGATAACTTTTTCCCTTGCAGAATTAAAATAGTACTCATGGCCTCTTAATTAAAAAAAAAACAACCAAGGTTGGGCACAATTGCTCACGCCTGTAATCCCATCACTCTGGGAGGCCAAGGTAGGTAGATAGCTTGAGCTCACAAGTTCAAGACCAGCCTGAGCAAAAGTGAGACCCTGTCTCTATGAAAAATAGGAAAACTGAAGCAAGAAGATCACTTGAACCCAAGAGTTTGAAATTGCTGTGAGCCAAGATGCCAGGGCATTCTACTCAGGGCAACAGCTTGAGACTTTGTCTCAAATAAATAAATAAATCCCAGCAGTGCTAAAATTAAGGCATTAACCTCTGAACATTTTATAACTCCTATTGGCATAAAGCACATACTATTAAGCCATAAAGGCAATCATTTGCCAATCAAAAACAAAAGCTACCGACCAGGCACAGTGGCTCACGTCTGTAATCCTAGAACTCTGGGAGGCGGAGGCAGGTGGATTGTCTGAGCTCATAAGTTCGAGACCAACCTGAGCCAGAGTAAGATCTTGTCTCTAAAAAAAAAAAAAAATAGCTGGGTGTTGAGGCAG